GGAGGGAACTTTGCATGACTGGAGTAGATGGTGTTCCTTACAACCTACACAGGGCGAGCCGTACCACCACCAAATCTACCAGATATGGGAGCTGATGGAAATGTTGTCCTTTGCTTGGCTCAAATTCTAACAAAAAATCAGATCTACAAACTCTTATAAAAAAGAACCTGCAGCCCTAAGTCCTGTCACTGATGTGAATCTGGTCACTACGACCCATAGATAATCAGATAACCAGATGGTGATTCCCAGGTACGCCAATAATCAAGTGCCAAAAATGTGATACACACTTTTTTTCACATCAGCAAGCAGTTCCTTCCTGATGTTTAACATAGAATGGGGAAAAAGACTGATTTCAACATCCTTAGTGATTCTAACTCTGCCAAACATACACATGTACAAACATACAAATGCTCGTTTTAGTAATTTGTGCAAATGTGCCATTCATTAATGAAAGTTAGTTGTTTATTTTATATTTGGTGAGTTGGAACCATGTCTGATTTATTTTTGTCAAAAAAAGTGTTTTTATGAATCTAGTTTTTGTTTGATTTGTATTTCATTTCTCATAATCACTGTAGAAAACTTGGCGTTTTAGACCCCTTGTAGCGCAATGTTGCCCTGAGGCAACAAACCCAAATCCGGTTCCGGGAGATGTCAGGGTCCGATTTTATGATTGATATGTAATTAGGAACCAACAAGCTCCGAAAGAAAGCAGGAAAATATTTTTTCCCCAAAAAAACAAAAAGTCATGCCATAGAGGGTTCAACTTGTTAAAGTCAAATTTACTGTAAAAAAGCAAACTAAGGGTCAAATATTAAAGAATTTAATGTTGAAAATACATATAGCTGATTAAATTTACTCTGAGCAACAAAATATAAATGCTCCGGGATTCACACCAGTTCTGTTTTAATTTGCTTTAATCCAACCTGAGCTCGATGCCCAGAAAGTCTGGTTCGTTCAGGGAATCAAACTGTGATTCACTGAGGCTGTTTTTCTACCTTATAGACTCGGTTTGTAGTTTGCTTTTTAAGATGCATTTCCAGCAGCTCTGTTCAGTCTGCTGTTAAGGTAATTTTATTTATACAGCACATTTTCAGCAACAAGGCAATACAAAGTGCTGTGATCCAACTGCAGTCCATTTGTCTAGGAAGTCTGGTTAATTTGGGTGGGGATTCATCATTTAAATCAAACAGTGATTTCCTCCACACTTTCCAGTCCTTGAGTCGACTATGAACTCTTTGCAGTCTAATGTGTTGAGTTAAACATCAGGAACATGAAGCAGCAGATCTACAACAGGAACAAACAGACTTTATTCCAGATGTAGAGTAAAGTTTATTTTTTGTGTTAAATCAGAGGCTGCAGGAGGTGAAGTGAGGATGTGAACCTTCCTCGCTGTCAGAGCTCCTTCAGACACGTGGTGGAGGCTTTTTGATGCTGTGAGTTACGATCGGACGGTGTCTCTTAGTGAAGGATTATCTTCACCCTCATAAACAGCTCTGAGACCCTCCATCCGATCCGGCATGGAGCTCCTTCCTCTTCTGCCAAACGGGGATTCTGGGTGAGTGGAGGATTTATGCTGCTAATAATAGAGTAAACTAGATTTATTTCCAGGGAGCGATTCTGCAGGGGCCTATTTATAATTACAGAATCCAATGATACATCCCTCAGGGTTTATCGCCTGACCCGGCTACCGGGACGCAGCTGACCGAGCAGCTCTGACAAACAGACAATGTGTGAAGAAGCTGCTGGGCTGACGACAGACATCCCAGGAGGATATGAGGAAGGAGTGGCGGCTCGTTTCTGTTTTGTCTTCTTTATCTGAAATGTTGATAAAAGCTGATGAAGCTGTGGCGCTGTCAGCAGAACATCACACACTTCATCACACACGGAAATAACTGGCTTGTTGTTGTTGATTCTCACGGCTGTTTGCAGGGAGAGGAGCTTCTGCACAGACCAGACAGCACTAAAGGAGGCACATGAAGCGAAACTCACATTTTTCAGGGTTTTCTGCTTCCATTTGGGTCTGAACTGCTTCTTTAAACAAACAGAAACACTCAGCCAGCTTTTAAGTTCATGTATTTTGGTGTCTGGAAAAGGAGTCATTTCAAAATCCTTCCAATAACTATGAAACCAATAACAGACATTACATTTTCTCAAGAGCCAAATCATCATTACACATCAGCATGTTGGTCAATGTTTCATTTATTATGGTTCAAAAGCAACTTTAACCTGGTGGTGTTCAGTCTGGATTTAAAGGCTCTCAGTGTTTCGGCTGTTTTACAGTTTTCTGGAAGTTTGTTCCAGATTTGTGGTGCATAGAAACTGAATGCTGCTTCTCCATGTTTGGTTCTGGTTCTGGATGCAGAGAATCCAGAACCAGTGCGGCCACCTCCTGATGTGGACGTTTTTGCTCTCCTCACCCTGTTCCACCAGAACCAGAACCTGAGGGGTCTGGAAGGTTGATCCAACAACAGCAGATCGTTAAGCTATTCAGTGATTTATAAAATGCCAACAGTATCTTATTCTCTCAGTGAAGGACGGTAGAACTGGGTGATGTGCTCCATCTTCCTGGTTTTAGTCAGAACTCCAGCAGCTTCTGGATCAGCTGCAGCTGGAGGATTTTTTTTTTGTCAGACCTGTGAAGATGCTGCTGCAGCAATCGATGCAACTAAAGATGAACGCATGGATGAGTTTCCCTGATGCTGAGACTTTAGTCCTCTGATCCTGGAGATTCTTCAGGTGACAGAAGGCCGACTTTGTAACTGCCTTTATGTGGCTCTAAAGGTCCAGGTCAGAGGTCAGCCTGATCTCTAGTTTCTGGCTGTAATAGAGCTGTGTGTTGATTCTAGTTCTGTAGCTCTAGATCGATCCTCTTTAGGTCCAAAGTTAACTTCATTCAGTTTTGTTTCTGTTCAGAAAGTTTTGGCACATCCACACATTGATCTGTTCCCAGCACCGGTCCAGTGGTTGGATGGGGTCAGAGGTCACCTGGTGACATTGTAATGTAGAGCTGAGTATCATCTGCGTAGTTCTGGTAGCTGATCTTCATTCCTGTTGTAACCTGAGTCAGTGGATCAGATCCATTCAGGTGGTTCTGTAATCCTGCAGCAGCTGAATTAAGGAGGAGGTTTAGTGGATTCCTGAGCAGTGACAGTTTCCCATTTTTGAAGATCAACTTGACTCAGAGGTTTAATCTTGTCTCTGGTCATTCTTTAACTGACTGGTTTTAAACCATTAAGTGATCATCAGAGACTGGACCTCCCATCATTCCTGACATTGATCCATCTGGCCTGTGATTGGTGAGCGATGAGCTCATCCAGAGAGCCTCATGTGTCCCTGTTTGATGTGAAACGTGAAGTTTGACCAGCTGGCCAGAAGGTGACCGCCCCGCTGACGGACGACCCGATGGCACCAGCAGCGACCGGCTCTAAGGAGACGTTTGGAAGTGACGCTATTTATTGCTCCAGCATCATCGACCTGTCTCCTCACAGTGACATCACTGCATTTTCCCTGCATGCTCAGCATGGTGGGATTAATGACGGGGAAACAGATCTCTCTGTTTCACAACTGAGTTAAAAACATGAGCCTCCTCTAAACATGGCTGCACGTCTGTTTACAACCACATTTAAAAGATAGTTTGGCTCTGAGTTTCAGTCTATAAATTTTATACAGTGATGCTGAGTTGTCCTGGTTTTAATTAGCAGCTTGTTCAGAAGCAAATGTTTTACTTTTCCTGATCTGATTTTCCTCATTTAGATCTTCGTCATAAAGCAGCTTCTGTTTCACAGACTAATGTTAACTGGGAATGGACACATTTTTATTTATATAACTTTGATTAGATAATTTTTTACATGGATACAACACAAAAAGGATTTCTATTAATAGTGACTCACATCACAGGTGATGGACAGAATTATACTGTACTAACAGAGATGGAAAGTAGATGAGAAGGCACACTCTGATTGAAATTCCCACATCCAAATTAATTTAACATCAAATAAATTCTATAAATATAAAGAGCTGAAACTCTGAGTTTACTTCAGGAAATGAGGGTAAAAATCCACCTGTTGATAATCACTGGAACATTGATCAATAATGTTTATTGCTTGTTTTATAACTGGTGACTGTATTTTGTTCTTATGATGTAAAACACTTTGAACTGTTTAGTTGCTGAAATGTGACACAAATAAACTTAATTTGACTCACCATAGTTACACAGGCTTTGTGCTTAATAGTGAATAAAAATATAATAATTTACTCTTGAATCTCAACTTCAAGCAAAAATTTACTCATTTGGTAAAAAAATAAATACTACTACTACAACTAATATAAAATTATATACATTCCTTAAACATTTTTACAAAAAATGTATAAGTTACTTTTCTTGTAACTTTGCCAACAATTAAAATTTAAATGGTATATTAAAATAAAGTCAAATTTCTATGAAAAGCGAGCTATAAACCCCAACAGAGTAAAATAAGATAAAATACAGTCCAAATTAAAATGTTTATGTGCAAAATTAGCTAAAAACCCAAATCAAAAGTCAAAATAATACAATAAGATAAATACATGTTTCTTATTAAACTTAAATTAAATTTGACATTTACAAGTGAAGATGAAATGAAAAGTTTTTTCTTTTAAACATTTTCAGGTTCTCAGATGAAATAAAATATGCAGAAAGAGTTTTCACTTGACATGTCAGCAGAGTGACACCTCTGTCCTGTCCTCCATCTTTGCATGCTGACACACTGATGTCCAAACTGGGAGGACTGGGGGCCGGACACGGCGCAGCAGCATGAGGCCGGTAACACGACCCGACTGGACGTTTTCCTGCCTCATATAAAAGAGCCGCCGGCTGCAGAGGGACAGACACAGAGGGACACCAGAGGGACACAGAGGGACACCAGAGGGACACAGAGGGACACCAGAGGGACACAGAGGGACACAGAGGGACACCAGAGGGACACAGAGGGACACAGAGGGACACAGAGGGACACCAGAGGGACACCAGAGGGACACAGAGGGACACCAGAGGGACACAGAGGGACACAGAGGGACACCAGAGGGACACTGAGGACCCAAATCTGTCCCAGAACCTCCGAGCTTCTTCAGGATGGGACTGCTGAGTGTGGAAGAACTGGTAGGTTCTGCTCCATTGACTGGGAATGATGGTGTGCTGGATTAGAGGCGTGTAAATGAATTTATTAAAATTTAAATATGCAATTAAACATCAGTTATGGTTGCATCTTCAGCATAGATGATGGTTTTGTTTTACTACTTCAGACCCTAAAATAAATATTTTTATTTAACTTTTGGACAAACTAGTAGAAGATGCAGTAATTTAGCATAAATATTTTAACACATATTGCTGAAAAGTACTAAAAGTGACAGTATTTTAGACACCATAAGGTTTGTGTGTTTAAACGTTGTGACTCATCGCTCCAGGTCACCGGTAAGAGGTCAGAGGTCAGAGAGCCCAACGACTTCCCGGGGGGCGAGTACGAGGCGGCGAAGCGGGATGACCGTCGGTCGCTCCAGGAGCTGCCGGGGGGAGGCGGAGCTTCGGAGGAGGAGGTCAGCGTGGTGGCTCTGAACGTGAGTCTGCTCTGCTGGATCCAGAACCAGAACCAGAACCAGAACCAAGCTTCTTTACTCACTACTAAACACTCGTTTCCATCACATTCCTGGTTCTAAAGAAAAACTTCTCAGTTATGATAAGCAGGTTTAAAAAAATCTTCACATCTTTTAACCAGAAGGTATTGTCGCACACTAAAATGTTAGTAGAGAAACTTTGGTGATATTAAAAGCTGATATTAAATATAACATTACTCAACTTCCACATGTTCATTTTGTGCACCAAGGTTCTTCTTTGCTCTTCATTCCTTCCTTGAACTTAAACTGGGACAAAGTTGAAACTCCGCTTTGATTTCCAGGCTTACCGCGCAGTTTCACCTGTCTGTGCTGCCCCCTGGAGGAACTCGGGTGCATAACAGCTTTGATTTATCAATTACCTGCTTAGTGGAATATTTGCAGCTGAATATTGATTTAAAACATAATATAATATATATATAAAATATTTATAAACAAAAGGCAGCAACATACATGACAACCCATCCTTTATGAAAAGGTTAAAATGTTAAAGGGTGCCATTTGTTAAGCTACACAATCAAAAAGTAACAGCAGTAATTTGGGTTATTTAGAAAAAAAACCCTTGGAGTTTATTTTTCATAGTCAAAGGTAAAACAGGTCCTCATGAACGCTTTGGCTTCCTGGGATACAGAATGTAACTGAGGTTTTCTCTAGACCTACTGGGTACTTTCTTAGAACTTCACTAAATGTAATGTGTAGTTCTAGTATGAATTTCTACTCCAGATGTTTTCAGTGTCTTCTAGTGTTTACTGGGCATCTTCCAGGTGTTTTTCCCAGTTTGCTCTGAATGAATGTAAGGGAACATTGTCAATGTTCACAGGGTGCTCTCTGAAGCCTGCAGGGCCCTTCCTGGTTTTTAGGCCTTTTAAAACTTTTCTTTGTCCCTGCTCCGTCAGACGGACAGAAGTGGGAGGCTGAAGCTGGAGACGGTGGACGACCTGTTCAACATCCTGCAGCTGAGGAAGAGGAGGAAGGAGAGGAAGTCTTCTGTGTTCAAGAAAACTGAACCGGAACCAGAGACAGTGGTAGGACATCATCAGGCTGTTTTCACCTGAACCAGAACAGGTTCCAGTTGGACCAGTTGGTCCTGCAGGATGGACGGTTCTGGACTGGTTACAGCAGCAAAGCATTGCTTTAGTTTAAACTCTGTGGCGTTTGTGTGTTTTTCAGCCAGAAACGGTGGATGAGCAGCTGTTCCTCACGGCGGTTATGGAGAACAAACTTCCTGTGGTGGAGAAGTACCTGGCCGACGGAGGAAACCCAAACGCAGCCGATAACGTGAGAGAGGAACTGTTAAAAACCATGGAAACGTCTCTAATTTACGGAGTTTATGAATAAAATGCTTTTTATTTTCCAGTTTCAGAGAACTGCTCTGCACAAAGCTTCCTTCAAAGGACATGTGGAGGTGATGAGAAGACTTCTGGAGGCCGGCGCTGCCATAGAGCAGAAAGACAAGGTCCTACTCTCCCTCCTTCTGCCTCACACACCTCCTTACACACTCAGCCTGACAGTGAGGTGTGTGTTTGTGTTGCAGCTGGAGGCCACAGCCGTCCACTGGGCCTGCAGAGGGGGCAGCCTGCCAGCCCTGCAGCTCCTGCTCCACCAGGGAGCCAAGTTCACCAGCAGAGACAAGGTGAGTTTGGCTCTCCCTGGTGGCGACACACGGGACTGCATGTGCAGATGTGTAGAGATGATGTTTCCTCCTCCTGATGCGCTCAGCTGCAGAGCACGCCTCTTCACGTCGCTGTGAGGACCGGACACTGCGAGTGCGCCGAGCATCTGATCCACTGTGGAGCCGACGCCAACGCCAGAGACAGAGTGAGCATTCAGACACTCAACGTCTCATCTGATTGTTAGATCCATAAACCTGCAGGTCGCCTCTCATTTCTCAAATGCACTGCAAAAATACAAAAACCTTACCAAGTAGATTTGTCTAGTTTTTAGTGTAAATATCTCAGTACACCTGAAATAAGACAAAACTAACTTACAAATAACTTTTCAGCAAGAAAATGATTTAAGTCAATAATTTCATAATGTTGGTGAAAAACTCCAAGTTCCACTGTCAGATTATTTCACCTGTAATATGTAAAGAATGTCATGATATCAGTGAAGTAATCTGGCAGTGGAACTTGGACTTTTCCATGAATATTAACAAATTATTGACTTAACTTGTATGTCTTGCTGAACAGTTCCTTGTAAGTTAGTTTTGTCTTATTTCAAGTTATTTTGAGCAGAAACTAGAAAAGAACTACCGGGTATGGTTTTGTGTTTTTCAGTGTATTTAACGTTTCTGGTTGTTTTTGTGTCTGCAGGACGGAGACACACCAATGCACGATGCTGTGAGGATAAATCGATTCAAGATGATCAGGCTGCTGATGATGTACGGCGCCAGCCTCAGCACCAAGAACAGCGTAAGTCCCATCGGCGCTGCTGGACCCCAGCCTGAGTCCAGGTCCAGTAGAGCTCAGTCTGGTCTGCTCCTTCTCTGCAGGATGGAAAAACTCCAATGGAGACGCTGTATTCCTGGCAGAACGGAGCCAAGAGCCTGCTGTGCAACTTCAACGAGGAGAAGCCCTGATGGCCTGGACCGTCTGCAGGAAGCAGACGGTCCAGGCCATCAGGGCCTGGACCGTCGATGAGGCGGCAGCACAGGGGCGGGAAATAAAACCACAAACTGTTGTTGACCCATCAGATCCCTGGACCGTCTGCAGGAAGCAGACGGTCCAGGGATCTGAACCGGCAACCCGCCGGCTCGTTAGACCTCTGGTCTCCATCAGGGAACGCTCACCGACAATGTGAAGTCCAGGCAGGAAGAGTTTCATCTCTTCAGAGTCAGCTGGACGCTGCTGGTCGGCGTCCAGCTGACAGAAAACGATTTCTTCAGTTTTTCTTTATTTAATATTGAGCTGAGTTGAGTTCAGTGACGATGAAGGTGATTAATTTATGGATGAATGAGACATTTATTTATTGTCAGATGTGATTTATCTAACAGTGAGCAGCTTGTTGTGTTGCACCTGAAGCAAATTGTCTGCTTTTGTGCTGTTTAAGGGAAATAAGTCAGAACGAAGTAAGTTTGATCTCCAGGTTGGTCAGAATCTCTCCTTTCCTTCTGTTTTTATTGATTCTGATGATCAGTAAATGTAAAGTAGAGCCGTCCAAAAGGTTCTCCTGTTAGGATATTCAGGCTCCACCTCCAATCATGACGCTGGTGAACAGAGACACAGAGCTGGAACGCTGCTGAAGGTTCAGAGGAAGTTTGACATGTAAAGTTATTGAAACAAATGGATTTTGTAAGATGTCTGTAACTGTTGGTTTTTATTGACTGAAATATAAATATTTAATAAACTTGTCTTTGATTTGAACTTGTTTTATTCTTGTTTGTCTTCAGCAGACATGGGTAGAGCAGTTAGCAGTTAACAGCACCAGCTGTTAACTTTTCAGCCTAAAGTAAAAAAAATAGCTGTAGGTTAAAAAAATTATGTTACAAGAAGTCAGAGATGAACTTTGAGGCATCATAGTTCAGAAATAACAGCGTGTGAAGTCAACAGGCAGTTGAAGGAACTGGTTCATAACCCTCACAGCCAGTCCAATGCCTCAACTAAACCTTTAGCTTCATCTGTCTTTACTGTCACTGGTGGAAAAAGATCCTTATTTAATATCACTAAACACATGGTCTGCTGTGGGGGAAACAAAGCCTGGCATGAAGCCTCTGACGGCTCCTAGGATCTCTGGGACTCTCGCACCTCTCCACCACGATGAGGCGGCAGCACAGGGGCGGGAAATAAAACCACAAACTGTTGTTGACCCATCTGGATAGAGGTGGCCCTCTGGTGTTAGACCAAGGATAGTAAAGGAAGACCTGACAGTATTAACTGATGTAAAATGGCTGCCTTTAATCAACTTGGTTCTATTGGTTTCTTTCAACAGAGCTTTATTGCTCAAATTGTGTAATCTGGATTAGATTTTCTGTTTTTCTTTATTTTGTCAACAAAAGAAAAAATATTTTGTATGACTAGAACTTATTGAAAGTAATTTTGTATTCTTGAAGATGAAAATCACTTTTTACCTTTTGTACTTAAGTACATTTCAAAACTTTTTTAACTTTAACTTTAGTAAAGCAGTTCAGCCTGTTTTTACTTTTACTTTTGCTAGAATATTTGCTCATACAAGAGTCTCTACCTCTACTTAGGTAGAGAATATGAATAGTTTTGACATCTCTGCTTAAAATGACTGTCTTCTTGTCTTTTTGTTGCTTTCCGGTGATTAAATTCGCATTCCGAGCTGAAATATAGTTCATGAACGCAACACAAATACAGCGCATGCGCAACTTTTGTTTCGCCCCGATTGGACACTTTCAAACACAGAACCGCGACTGTTTATTGTGATTTAGCTCGACGCCAGTTAGCATGTCAATTTAAAAGGAAGAAAACGTGTTATTTTTGATTGTGTGTAAATGCTCTGAATGTAAAGCTGCTATGTAAGTACTTTTTCTGTTCTGGGCGCAGTTGTAATATGGAAGCTGGGTTGTTTTTTCTTTAAATTTACCGAACTTTAGCAAAGTTTTAGCCGTATCCAGCTAGCCATGATAGCCGTTGACAGGTGACAGCGTTTCATGTCGTCAGGGAAAAAAATAAAAACAAATTTAGGTAAATTTTTTGAAAGATAACAAACATGAAAACAATTGCTTGACAGGATGTTATATTTTAGATATATTTTGAGCACAGGCATTGTTAACTAGCATTGAAACATAGAAGGATTTTCCCCTCTGTTTATCGAAAAGCTTCGAGAAAAAGAAAATAAATTTTGGTCAGTTTTTAACATCATGGAGGCAGTGGGCTTTTCTCCATATATCCTGCCCTGATTTGTCAGTTCGGTGAAACCTTTCATTTAATTGCCATGAAGAAGTTTCTGCCTTTAGATAATTTGTGCTTTTGGATGTTTTTGTTTTTCTGTCTCTGTAGAAAAATGACTGACTCCTGCCTGAACCAGACTGACCTACGAAGACTCGCTGAAGATGGGAAAAGTAAACTCTCAGCAGAGTTCATCCCCTCACCAGATTTACCGGTCAGACCGAGCTGTTTGGTAGTTAACAGAAGTTATTTCAAAGTATTGAATCTCAACATGCCACCTGTTGGGATCTGCCTTCTTTGGCCTGCAGTGCTTTCTGTTTGTAACTGTTTTGTTTTGTTCTGTAGCATTCCTGCGTGGAGGATAAAGAGCACCTGCAGGTTTACCTCAGAATCCGACCCTTTACCTCATCAGAAAGAAGCAACGGAGAGTCACAGGTAGAAATGCTTCTAACTGTGGAGACAATGTTAAATTAATCTGGAAGACGACCTGCAGCAGATCACACTGTTCATATTTGTTTTTGTTGCAGGACTGTGTTGCCATAGAAACCCCAGATACGGTTCTCCTGAAGCCTCCCAGTTTGTCCCTTTTGGCCCGGCTCAGCAGTGATAAATCCCTTCCTCAGACCGGCCAGCGCTTCCAGTTCTCCAGGGTGAGACTTTGACTGGGCCATAAACAGGATGTCCATCTGATTCTTGTTAAACAGAGCCACAATTAGTTTAACATGTTTCTCTACATATGTTATTGTACATAAGTTATTGTTATGCGTAAAAAAGACATAATATATCTTTATTTATTATTTTCCACTTATTTAGGTTGCAACTTTCTCAGCTGTGTAATGCCTGCTGGGCCGATGATGCGTTTAGGTCATAGTGAATTCAAACAAAACAAAACGTCATGGTGGTGGAGGCTGATGAGGGCCGCCCACAAAACGTTGCATTGCAGCATAAACAATATATCTGTGTGACAGTGTTAATTTTTAAATGAATAAAAACGTATTAGCTTTTAGTATTTTACTGAATGTTTCTCAGATGAAATGTGTTCTTGCTAATGGAGAATTGATTTAAAGGTTCTGTCTCTTTAAGGTTTACGGCCCAGAAACGACACAAAGTGAGCTGTTTGAAGGCACCGTCAAAGATCTGGTCAAAGATGTCCTGGAAGGAGAAAACTCTCTGGTTTTCACCTACGGAGTCACCAACTCCGGGAAGACCTTCACGTTCCTCGGTACAGCAACCCGCAGTGTGAAAGCTGCCTGTAGGCAGCGCTCAGAGCTGACTGTGCTGCTGTTTGTGCTGCTGAAGGTCCCGACTCTGAAGCTGAAGCTGGAATCCTGCCCCGGGCGCTGCGGCTCATCTTCAGCAGCATCGGTGACAACATGTTCCAGGGCCTGAACGTCAAGCCGCACCGCTGCAGGGAGTTCCTGGCTCTGAGCCGCCAGCAGCAGGCCGACGAGGCGCAGTTCAAGAACAGCCTGCTCAAACAACTCAGAGAGGTGAGCGGCTCCTCCTGGACCCGGACGGGCCCGACACCAGCTGGACCCGGACGGGCCCGACACCAGCTGAACTGACCCAGTTACCATGTCAACAACACATTTCCTTGGCATAAATTTCTATATTTTTAGGCAGATATTTCTGAGAGAAATTCAAATGAATATTGTTAAAACTAAATTCATACTCAGGAGTTCAGACTGAGTTACCATGGTAACAGAATCAGGATCAGTAAGGTTCACTGTTAAGAGGAAAGCTCGACTTTCTGCTCAGCGTTGCTAGGAAACCTGTTGACCTCTGAAGGTCACCTGATGCTAGATGTAACCCGTTTGTTTCCGTTTCCTTCAGAATGAGAAGAGCAGCAGCAGCCTGCAGAACTCGACCAACCAGACCTGGTTTGAAGGTGAGTCTGATAACAACCAGCAGCTTTTCTCATTATTTTGCTGATTAAAGCTGCAGTAGGCAACTTTTATAAAAATGTGTTTTACATACGTGTTGAAACTGTCACTATGTCCTGACAGAATAACATGAGACAGATAATCAAACTCTTCCCATTGGTCCTACTGCCATCTGCAGAAATACACCGCTACAATCAGAAATCAGAGCCAGCGTATACACCAGAATGATTGACAGCATTATGACCCTCCTCCTGGCTCCATTTGGTTGTTTTTGACCAAGCGATGCATTTCTGCAGATGGCAGAGGAGATGAGATTTCAATTTATCAAATTAACTGTTTTACATTTTACTGTCGGGACATAAAAATAATGTTTTTGTGAATGTTTGGAGCTGTAGCTTTAAGCCAGCATGTTTCTCTGCAGCTGTCTGTAGGGTTTTAGAAGGTCTGTTGTCTGCAGGCTCCACGGCGCCGCGGCCCAGTACTGCAGCCCAAGACAGAATCATCCTGGACGTCAAACCCAACACCAAGTTCTCCGTCTGGGTCTCCTTCTGTGAGATCTACAACGAGAACATCCACGACCTCCTGGAGGTGGCGCCGAGCGGGGCGCTGCGCAGGCCGGCGCTGCGGCTGGCACAGGATGGCAACAGCAACGCCTACGTCAAAGGTCGGGGCGCTGAGCTGCAGCTGAAGGGTTTCTGATGTCAGACAGGAAGTGACTGATGGCTGCTGTGTGTTCAGATCTGCGCTGGGTCCAGGTGAGCAGCGCTGAGGAGGCGTTTAGAGTGGTGAAGCTGGGCCGGAGGAACCAGAGCTTCTCCTCCACCCGCCTCAACCAGCTCTCCAGCAGGAGGTGAGCAGCGCCGCCGTCATTCCTCACACCGAGCTGCCTCCTGCTGCTCTCTAACGGCCGACTGTCTGCTTCTAGTCACAGCATCTTCTCCATCCGGATTCTGAGTGTAGAGGACGGCGACCCGCCCAGAGTCCACACCATCAGCGAGTGAGTAGAGGGGAACCTCACCCGCTCCAGCGTGTGCAGGTTAAACATGGCCGCTCTGCCCTGCAGGTTGTGTCTGTGTGACCTGGCCGGCTCTGAGCGATGCGCCAAGACTCAGAACAAAGGAGAGCGCCTGAAGGAGGCAGGAAACATCAACGCCTCGCTGCTCATCCTGGGGAAGTGCATCAAAGCTCTGCGCTACAACCAGCAGGCCAAGTAAGTCGCCTCCAGGTCCAGTTCCCCCCGCTGGTTCTGATCCGCTCACAGGAAAAAGAGCTAAAGCCTTAAAATGTCTGAAATTCATCTACAAGAACTATTTGGCCTTAAATATGTCGTGGCAGGTCCATTTATCCTCATGTATGTAGTTTTTTTTAATTTCAATTTGTTTTACAAAAAAAATTAAGAATGCAAACAATTTATGATTGTCGATGTTTAGATTAAAATCAGTTAATAATAATAATAATATCTGCTTGGACCTTCTGTCAGTGTTGTAGTACTTCCTCCGTCCAGCAGAGGACGCAGAAAAAAAACTGCACAAAAAGATCCGCAAAGCAGTGAGACCGCGATATACTGAGGGATCACTGTATATTTAAAAAAATGATTGCGATACGGGTCTTAAATTTCATTCATAAAGGTCTTAAAGTTTGGGTTGAGTCCTGTTTCCACCAGCAGCCTGTCGTCTCCTGCCTTCAGGCTGCTGCAGCACATCCCCTTCAGGGAGAGCAAACTCACACACTACCTGCAGGGCTTCTTCTGCGGCCGGGGCAAAGCCTGCATGATCGTCAACATCAACCAGTGCGCCTCCATGTACGACGAGACCCTCAACGTCCTCAAGTTCTCCGCCGTGGCCCAGAAGGTCCGTACAGTCCTCCTCACTGTCCCTGTAGAGGGTTAAATGTTTCTGACTGAGGAGGAGTGATGCTGTGGGCTCCCCCTGCTCTCCAGCATAGGCAGGAATCATCACCATGGCAACCAGTGACTAAGCATTTCCCAGGCCTTAAATTACTCTGGTTTCCTTCCTTTCTGAACTGGATGCAGACTTTCTGTCTCACCCAGGTGGTGTCCAGGCTGTCGTTATGCAGCTTTAACCAGATCACAGCCATTTTATATCCTTAACCTTTGACCTTTACAGACCAAACTTCCCTCAGTCCAGCTACATACAGATATTAACAGAATTTTTTAAAGAAGCAAGATTTTATTTCTGTTTTCAGGTTTTAAAGAAACGCGTCCTAAGAAGATTGATTCATTTTGGTGTTTGTGGAAAATAAGTAGAACAAAAAAAACATTCTGTTACTCTGTGATGGAAAAAAAATAATTTTACTGACTGTGTCATTCTGTGGTGGAAATTCAAAGCCACTTTTATTCTTTACAAAAACTTTAAAAAACAAACCTGTTGAAATCTGCACTTATTATATTAATATTTTTCTTTAATTAAAATTTTGTTGGTTCTGCACCTTTTTTAGCCAGATTGTCCAGAGCCATTTCTTCTCCAGAGCTGCAGGTTACAGACTGCTGTCATGAATGTCCCGAAGCCACGTCGGGTGTTACTGATGGAGGTTTGTTGTTCCAGGTGGTCGTCCTGATCTCCAGGCCGCTCCCTGCCGTCCCTTCCTGCAGTGACGCCTCCTCCTCCAGAGCCTCAGGGCGGAGGAGCGCCGGCTGGGAGACCAGCCTGGAGGACGTTCCGGAGGATGAGGAGGACGAGGAGGAGGAAGAGGAAGAAGAAGACAGTGTCATGGAGGACACTACGGATCAGACGACCGACGAAGGAGAAGAGAAAGTCGTCATCAGCAAAGCGATGCATGAGGTAGGATGGGCACTTATTGTGACCCCAGAACCAAACTGACTGGGTTTTATAGAAGCATCTCCTGCTGCTGTTACAGCGTCTTCTCTCTCCTTGGTGTCCCTGTAGCAGCAGGTGGCGCTGTTGAGGCAGCTGCAGGTCCAGCTGAAGACGGAGCGCTCAGAGAACCTGCTGCTGGAGGCCCGGGTCAGAGAGGAGATCAGCCGCGAGTTCTCAGAGCTGTTCTCCGACATGCAGAAGGACTACGAGTGAGACGCTGCTTCCCTCCTCTGCTCCAAACTGGTTTAGAACCAGAACCACTAACTGGTGTCTCTGTGTGTGTGTGTGTGTGTGTGTGTCAGTGAGCGCCTGGTCAGGGAGAGGGAGATCCTGGAGGAGCGAGCTGAAAGGAGGCTGGAGATCTTCAAGAACCTGACCAGGAACATGTCCTCAGCTGGCTGCAGCTCGGACGCGGTCACCATGGTAACGCCTTCTGACCACGGGACGCGCTCCGGCTGGACCTGCGGCTAGATTGCTAACATTTTTCATGTGTTTTTCCTTTCAGGACAGACTTCTGAGCTGTCGGGCCTCTGAGCTGCCAGCAGCATCTCATTTCAGCCTCGGATCCGGTCCGACTGAAAAGAAACCTGAAGACGATCAGAACCACGAGCACAGAGGTACCAACGACACCTGAAGGCACCAGGAGGAAATGGCCCAGCAGACTCTGGAAATGAATACCGTTGTTCTGTTTCTTTGTTTTCCTGCGAAGCAGAGGAAAAGAAATGGCTTCTTCTTCAGCTCCAGGAAAAGTCTGTGCAGGTGGCCCAGGTGGAGCATCAGCTGGAGGACCTGCAGAAGAAGACGGAGCTGGGCTCACAGAACGGCTCCGACCAAGGCAAAGATGAAGATCAGCTCCAGGTAAGAAACACCTGGAGGAAGACTGAACTCCGGTGCTATTTCAAAAAAGTATTTGAAAGGAATTTTCTGATATTTTTTCGATTCTTCGCCCCTATTATGGAGAACAGAGGGACACTGCTGTTCTCTAGTACGGCAGCACTGTAGAAGAAATAAATACTGCCACCTGCACAATTAAATGAATGTCCTCAAAAATGTCAAAATTTGCAAGGAAAAATAAAGATGGAACTATTTAGACAGTTTATCTCCAAATAACATGATTTGGTTGGTTAGTTGAGCTTTAATCTTCGTCGTTTTCTCCCATCAGGCCTTGTGCTATAACTGGGCTAGCGATCAGAGCTAACTGCTCTCAGCTAAATGCACAGTTGTGATGCTTAAACCTCAGGGGTTTTTGGCAGGAATAAAATGAAAATCCAAGAGGACCAGTCACAGGTTCCTGAGGAACACCAGAGCTGAGCTGTTCCACTCAGCAACGATTCAGAGTTCTGCCTTAAGACCGCATGAAAATCTCCACAGTCTATCAGAAAGAACCCAGAAAATATTATTTTATGCTCCTGCATCTTTACAGTTTTATAGATCAACAACATGTTTCCATGATGATCCCACCTGCAGATGTTTAGTCCGTTCTGCTGATGCGTCTCTATGAAGACCTTCAGTCTCTTTTTCATGTGATGAAAATTCATGTGATGGTCACCGTGTGACCAGCAGCATCAGTGTTTTCATTTAAATCTCTTCAGAAATGATGAGTTCTTCTCCTTTCAGGAAGCTCTGGCTGAGCTTCAGAAGGAGCAGAAGAGGAGAGAGGAGCTGATGGCTGCGCTGGAGTACCAGACTCTGGGGAAGGAGGAGGCGCTGGCCTCCCTCCAGGAGGAGCGCAGAGCCAGGGAGGAGGTGCAGTCTGCTCTGGAGGAGAGCCGGCGGCGGCAGCAGGAGCTCCGAGTGGCGGAGCAGGTGGAAGTGCAGACGGCGGTCCACCTGCAGCCTGCTGTGGAGGAGCTGGAGGAGAAGTCCAGGAAGATCTTGGATCAGTCCTACCAAATCCATGTCCTCACAGAGGAGCTGCAGCAGCTGAAGCAACAGCTGCACGCGCCTGCTTTCTCTTCCTCTGACGGCGTTGAAATCCAGCTGAGGGAGGAAGTCTCTGAGCTCAGCAAGAGGCTGGAAGAGGAGAAGAAGAGCAGCGAGGCGAAGCAGAAACTCATCCAGCAGCTGGAGGAGGAGAGGAAACAGAGGGAGGCTGCAGTAGAGCAGCAGGTCAGAGAGCTGCAGAGGAAGCTGGAGGAGCAGGAAGAACTTCGAGTCCAGCTGGAAACCCAACGGGAAGCGTCCAATCAGGAAGCAGAGCAGCTGCAGCTGAAGCTCAGACTGCAGCAGGAAGCTGCAGAGAAACTGAGAGACGACCTGAGAGAAGCTGAGCTCCACAGCAACACCGCCTTATCCAGCGCTGAAGGCCTGGACAGGGTGAACTCTGACCTCCAGAGGGAGATCACGTCCCTGAGGGAAGAGGCTTCCTCTGAGATGGAGCAGACGAGACGAGAGAAGGACCGGCAGCTGGAGGAGAAGCTGGCCGAGATGGAGAGGAGGTCTGCTGAGAGGGAAGCAGAGCTGCAGGAGAATCTGCATCAATCAGAGCGAAAGGTCACGACCCTGCAGGAGAAGCTGCAGGAAGCAGAGCGACGGGAGGAGAAGGAGAGCCTAGCTGTCCGGGAAGTGAGGAGGAAGGAGGTGGAGCGGCGGCAGGAGCTGCTGGCTGTGGCTCATGAGGCCTTAGCTGAGAAGGATGCCGAGCTGGAGAAGAAAGCCGGGGAGATCAGCAGGTAACGACGAAGATGAAGCCGCTCCTTCATCACTTCCTGAACCTCCTTCCTGATGTCTCTGGTGTTTCTGTCCCAGGCTGAAGCTGGAGGCTCAGGAGGAGACGCAGCAGGTGAAGAGCCTCCGCCTGGAGCTTCAGAGGAAGGAGGACGACTCGTCAGACCTCAGAGAGAAGCTGGCTGACTACAGGAAGCAGGTCCAGCAGGTCCAGAAGGAGGTCCGTATCAGAACACTGGAGGATACGGGCTCAACACATCCAGCCGGTTTTAAACGAGGCCGACTAAACCTGTAGATTAGAAAATCTTAATCTGGAGCACATGGTTTGTTTTCAGGGTGTCTGCGCATCTTTAAAACGTCTTAAATTCATGTATCTACAATACATGAGGCCTTAAAACGTCTTAAATACACAAACAATGTAAGCCGGGTTTAAATACTTTAATCATGGGTTTTATATTTTGTCGTGGCTTGGCGGTTTAATCTCATCGTGAATGTAGGCAGCAGTTGGAGTTTCAGGAAGACTTCATTGCTTTCTGTAACTCGATGTGGTTCAGGCTGCTGTAACTTCCTGCTACACCTTTGCTAGCTCGCTTTTTTCTGTCTCGTGGGCGAGCGCAAATTTATAACCTGTTTGGATGACGTTGGTCTTCACCATTCGCTCATTTCTGTTGCCGACCCATTTGATGCTTTGGCTCAGAAAACAGTCTGTGCTGCTGCTGTTCGCGCCGATTCAAGAGCATCATTTGGTACGACACAAACTGACGTTGGAGGTTTAGGTGATTTTAAACACAGCAGTACGGCAACATTCTGACCTATTGGAGCATTTTATTTCAACAAAGTTGTTACTGTGGAGGGAAATACATCTGAGAAGGAGAAAAGGAGTAGAGCATGGAGTCAAGAGAGAACTCATAAAGGTCTTAAAGTCTGAAATGTGATTTGGTGAAACCTGCAGAAACTGGTCTTGGTTTCAGGTGTCGGCCATGAGAGCAGAGGAGACGACCCTGAAGCAGAAACTTTCTGACATGGATAAAACCAGGAAGCAGCTGCAGTCGGACCTGAGCAGCAGAGACAGAACCATCCAGCAGCTCAGAGCCGTAAAACAACCCTGATGTTTCCAGCTGTGTCTGATTCCTCCCAGTCTGCTGGATCCTAACAGTTCCTCATGTTTCTGTCCTTCCAGGAGCAGCAGGACTCTAAGGCTGCTCAGCTCTACCAGGAGGCCTGTAAAGGTAGAGACTCACTCTGGGATGATTAGCCTCCATCAGGCTGCTAAAATATTCCCCCACTTCAGTCGTTTTGATGTTCGCTGGTGCATAATTCTGAGTTTATTGCACAGTATTCGTCATTTTCGTCATTTTTTTCCTTCTATATGTAGATTTTGGAAGAACTTTGAAGAAAAATTGTTACAAAATTATAAACTGTATATTAAGTAGCTCCACAAAATGAGGGATTTTGAAACAAAAAAATCACTTTACAACAGTGTCACTGTCTGCAGCCATTTTAATGTGTTTAAATGTAAATATTGAGATTGGGGGCGTGGCCAGCAGCAGCTAAACACTGAAGCAGCTCATTCTGGAAGAACCTCAAACAGAACAGAGGAGGTGAAATCTCATCATCTTATGTGAAACATGTAACACGTTTACAGCCCTAACCTGTACTTATTCAGGGAAGCATGACGGATCTCCCTAAAATAAATGTGAAGCTATCCAAGGCCAGAGTCCAGCTGAGTCCTCCCTCAGGTTGTTGCTCCCTCAGCCATGTTCCTGTCTGCTCCTCTACAGAGCTGCAGGCCAAGCAGCAGGTGATGGAGGACATGCGGCTGGCGCTGACGGAGCAGGAGGAGACGCAGCAGCAGATGGAGCAGGTCCTGGACGACAAGATGCGTCTGCTGCAGGAGCTCTCTGCAGGTGAAACCCCTGGATAAGAACCAGTCCACACCAAAAACTTCAGATCTGTCCACACAAACTGATGATTTTACTGACAGAATGATGTGACAAGTTGGTTGTGTTCTATTTCAGAGGTGGAGAAGCTGAAGGGGAAGCTGCTGGAGCAGAGCGGCAGGTCCGGCCGACCTTCAGACGACCTCAGGCTGGCCAGAGAGGAAGCTTCCCGAGCCCAGCAGAGCTTAAAGGTAGAAGCTGCAGAAGTGGAGTCTGTCTGGAGGAGGAACGTTGGACATGTGGACAGATGGACATCTGCTTCTCCTGCAGGTGTTGACAGAGAAACAGCAGGCTGAACGCAGGAAGTGGCAGGAGGAGAAGCTGTCTCTGATTGGCCAGGCCAAAGAGGCGGAGGACAAGAGGAACCAGGAGATGAGGAAGTTTGCAGAGGACCGAGAGCGCTACTGTCGCCAGCAGAGCCTCCTGGTAAGAGCCGGACGGTGAAACGTCTGCAGCTCCAGATCTTTTTCCAACCTGTCTCCGTCTGCTCCCAGGAGTCCAGGCTGGAGGAGAAGGAGGCGGCCATGGAGAGCTGGAGGGCGGAGCGGGACACGCTGGTCGCTGCTCTGGAGGTGCAGCTGCAGAAGCTGCTGGCCAGCCAGGCGGACAAAGACAAGCTCATCAAGGAGCTGCAGCAGCAGAGCCCAGCGTCACCAGCAGGGGTCAGTGCAGCGCCACACTGACCGATAAATCAGACAGGCTGTCCCATCAGACGTTATTAATGATCAAAAATGATCAGGGTTTGGTGAAAGAAGAAGTAAATCAGGAATCTGAACTGAAAGGTTCCATATTTCTACCTCTGCTCTCCGTCTGTCTGACTGGAAGCAGAGTGAAGGAAAATGAAGGTCTGAGGATTATAGTTATAGAGGATTATAGAATAACCAGCGTAACGTTTAACGCTAAATTAAAATAATTATGTTAGGACTAAATTATTGGACTGGGATGTTTATGACTGAGGACAGGAAACCAGCATCTTAATGGGAAATAAAAAGATAAAAACTAATACATTTTGAAATATTTGAACAATGTTAAAGTTGTTTAACAAAAATTATTAGCATGAGGCTAAAAATTAGCCTGGATCTCATGGGCAGCTCAATAACAAAGCTACAAACATTAGCATTTAAAGACAAAACAAAACAGATCAATGAGTCAACAGAACCAAATTATTAAGAACACTTAAAACATTTATCAAAACTGAACGTCAGTCATATTTCAGAACAACAAATAGTTTTAATAACCAACTCTCTGTTGATGCTGTTATTGAGTTGACTAACAGTGACTCGGAGCTGAATATGGAAACTTTTAAATCAGGTTTTCATCAAGTTGAGAGATTCATCAGTCAAACGGCTCCAACCAGAGCAGGAAGTGTCTGCAGGACCACTTCATCAGCTGATGTGTGTGTTACACACACCTGGGGCTCCACAGCTAACAGCTAGCATACAGCTAATCAGAACAATCAGATGGATTCTGTTCTGGACGGGCAGACAGCTGGCGTGTTCTGGACTCTGGGTTTGGACTTTCTGATGATAAACTGTTGTTTTAGTCAACTAGTTTTTTCATATTGTGGAACAACGTGTGTCTAATTAGGACAATATTTCTGTCCTGATAACGAGATGACAGCTGAGCCTCAGCTTTGGGAATAATTCCAACATTTTAGTCGTTTAGTTAGTGGATTTCTTTCCATTTGCCTCAGGAGTTTAATGGTGCCTGGAGAGGCTCCTGTAGTTCAGTGGATCTGATGTGTGTGTGTGTGTGTTGCAGGCTAATGGTGGCCGCCGTTCTCTCAGAGTGGCAGAGCTGCAGGCGTCTCTAGCGGAAAAGGAAGCAGAGATTGTGCAGCTGAAGGAAAACGCAGCAGAGCAGGTCAGAACCGTCAGAGTTTATCTGACAAACAGGAGAGTTCTGACGTTTCACAGGAAAAATTAACCAGTTTAAAATACTAAAGCATTTAAACTGCTGCAGAAACATCATAGTTTATAACCTCTAAATACGTAGAGCCTCTTCAGGATCTGAGATGTTCCCCACACTTTAAATGAAGATGTGAAAAATGTTCAGATATTAGTGAATATTTCTGGAGACGGATGAAACGTTGCAACGTTTTCCACGTCTTCAGGGAAGAAAAAACTTCAGGTCTTCTTTTATCTGGATGTTTTCTTATAAAGTTGGGTTGAATCACATTTTTTAATCCTTACTTTAAGTCCAGATGATTTGCATATAACATATTGTGTTGATTTTAGGTGATTAATGTGGAATAATGTGTTTTTTCTTCTTCACAGAGTGAGAGTTCTGCTCTGGCTAAGAAAGCAAAGGCTGAACCGCTGCAGCCTGAGAGGAGGGAGACCAGATCGTCCACCAGCAGTCGGGTAAGTCCACTTCACGATTTTCAACACCTGACAGACCACACATTATCTGACAAAAAAATCACAGGTATAGCGGGTTTGATCGGGTTCGAACCACACGGCAAGAGCAACACACCGATTCCTCTCACCGACATTCAGGTTCCAGACAGAAAGTCCTGTAAAAACCAGCTATATCCGTCAAACTCCTTGTTATTTCTCTGGGTACTCCTTGCATGAAATGTTGAATATCCATTCATGTTGTTCGGTTGGCCATGTCAGCTGTTTGGGATTCTCCTCCCTGCTTATGTCACTGTGCTTTCTGATTGGCTACCGGTCACATTCAACAGGCTGCGTTCTCGCTCCCAGTTGGAGAAAACCCCACACTGCAAGACAATCCAACATGTTGAGTATGACCGACTTTAGATGGGAGCGGTCCGTCGTTCCACCGACTGGACCCGATCAGTCGTAACACAAAAACACACTGCAGGATGATCGGCTACGATTATCGCAAGCGCCAATCTTAGAACATTGGACATTCTAAGATTGGCGAAAGGGGAAAATCGGGGCAAAGAATCGTGTAGTATGAACCGGGTGTAGGAGAGGAGGAGAAGGGCCTAGTCAAAGCGTCAGGGCCTCTTTGGTGGAGCAGCTGTGTTCAGTGTTGCTGTTCCCCCAGGGTTCGTCCGGCTTCCCCTCGGTGCTGGAGTCCTCCGAGGTTTCCACGGAAACGGGCCGGACGAGCCGCTTCCCCCGGCCGGAGCTGGAGATCTCGTTCAGCCCGCTGCAGCCCGACCGCCTGGCGCTGCGGCGGCAGGGCGACGACAGCGCCGTCACCGTCAAGATCAACCGGAACGGACGCAAGAGGAAGAGCAGCGAGATGGAGAAGGTAGGAGGATTCAGACTGAACTCACCTGGAGGCTTACCTGAGAGAAAGCAGGAGTACAGTCCAACTGTCGCTTAGTAAAACTATAAAACACGATTCCAACTAAGAACGGACCCACCGGGCTCCAGCAGGAGGCGATGGAAACCTGCTGCTGCTCGAAACAAACAGTTTGCTGGTTGTAGTGTTTCATCCAGATAATCTGTCACAGCATCACCGGTTGGTGAGGAGGTTCTGGTTTTAGTTTCTTCGTACTGAATCAGAAAAACTCTGAAAAAAGACTTTTGTTTTTGAAAGTGTTCACACATCCTCAAGTCTTAAATTCCTGTATTTAAATTGAGACCTTAAAATGTCCTGTAATACACGCTGGAGAGCTAGCTAGACTATGTACGTCTGCTGTGTGTCACTGGTTTCCTGGGAGACGTTGCTCTTCTCCACTGGTTCACGCCATCCGGGCGTGAATCAGGCCAGAGTCTGAAGTTTAGGAACATCCGTCTGCAGAACGAAGGAAGAAGCTTGAAAAGACGGATCTGTTCATCGGTCCAGACGACGTGTCTGATCCCTGCTCAGGTGAAGGAAGTGTTGCTTTCCTTTCCATCTGCTGGGTCACCATGGAAACCTGGAGGTCTGTCTGTCCTGCTGACAGCAGTCCGTCTTCTCAGCGCTAAGTGCTTCTCGTGAACGATGGCTCCTCCTTAATGTTTTCTCTGGTAAAACCAACAGCCAGCTTTAGGTCTTCAGCTTCCTTCTGCTCCTATAATCATGTTGGGTCAAAGAGCCAGCACGTTTCTGGTTGTCTGTTGGAAACATACAGCAGATCATAGCCAGTCAGAAACATAAAATATTCTTTATCAAAAGTCCAGTTATGGAGGAATTTTACTGTCCACCATTCAGATCAGATATTATTGTTCATAATGATTTCTGCTGCAGCCTGTAGATGGTCAACCCCCAGGTCATGTCGAGGTCGACCTCTGACTCCTAAGGAAAAAGCATTTAAAAGGTTTTTTCTCAGCTCCTGCTGAACAGGTTTGTTGTTTGGCAGCAGGGATGTGAGGAGACGGCCAGACGTCCCAGCTCCCATATTTAACGAGTCAGACCCGCCCTGAGTGGAGCGGGGTGATGCATGGGTCGCCCCGGTGATCCCACGTGACCTCCCACCTCATCCTGCTGTGGGTTTCTGTGCTGCCCTGCAGATGAAGATGGAGGTCCGTGTCGGATCCCAGGGACTCGTTCAGGTGAAGTTTTCTACCTGGTTCAGGTTTTCTGAATCTGGACTCCAAGCTGAGCTTCAGAACTGTCTGAATGTTTTTACTTCAAACCCACAGCTTCACATTAAGCTGCTGCTCTCCGTTGTTTGGAGCTTCTCAGTTAATTAAAGTTATTCAGTGTGCTTTAAAGGAAACTTAAAACTGTAGATTAACATAAAAACCATCAGAAGGATCCAATTTACTGCTTGGCAAACCAGAGCAGCTGGCTGGGAATATGAAGATAGTAACTGAAATGAAAAACTAATCTCTGTTCAATAATAATAGCTCAAGTTCATTTTAATATTAAAATTGAATTGGTCCCTAGAGATTGCAAATGCAGGAAAAAAGCTGCTGCTTCTTTACAGGAAATAAAGTAACAAGAGCATCAATAAATATTATGTATGAATATTTGGGTCCTGGAACGAGGAATATGACCAGAACAGACTTCACTGTAATAATTTTTTGTTATTTTATTTATATTGTAATATAATATTATTATATAAAAGAGTTTATATAGTAAACTCTTTTATAGAAATGTTTCAGCAATAATGCTAAGGTGATAAAACAGCCAAATGTGTTTATAGTCATTTAAAAAGTAAGACTGGGAGCAGAATAAAACCGATCAGTTGGTAAAACTACTTAAATCAAGTTCAAAAGCTAGGGACACCTGAACTACTTCAGTCAGAAGCTACTGCAGAGCTACTGTAACACTGACTGCTACAGCATTAGAAGAGTCAGCGATGATCTGATGTTTTTTCCTTTTAATGAGTTTTTACTGCAGCGCTGGTTTACTGTGATTTATTTAACAAATATCCAAACATCTGAGCAGTAAAACATGCTGAAGGATAAATTCTCCTTCTTGTTTGCTCTGGCCTTTAACAGCTTTGTTCACATTTAAAAAGCGCAAAATGCAAATAAATTCAACATAAACCCGAAGGTTTGGAAGGAAAGGATGAGTTTGTGCCTCCAGTGATGAGCCGGTAATCCCAGCTCTAATGACTCTGCTCATGTCCTTCAGATCAGATTTCCCAGGTGCTTCATTCAGAAAACAAACCTGGAGAAATAAAAATTTAGATTCATTAGCTGGATGAATCAGTTTATCATTAGAAACGTTCTAATACTGAGACAGAGTTCTCCCAGGACGTTCCACTGGAAAGTCACTTTTACTTTGAGACCTGCCATCCCGACCTGTGGTGGTTCAGTCTCTGGTTCAGTGGTTCAGTAGTTCAGTCTCTGGTTCAGTGGTTCAGTAGTTCAGTCTCTGGTTCAGTGGTTCAATAGTTCAGTCTCTGGTTCTGTGGTTCTTCCAGCACTATCCTGGCCCATCTTCCCCCAGCTGTGCAGACTGACAGCAGGTTCCCTCCAGACTAATGGGACAGAACTTCATGGACCCTCAGAAGGTCACAGAGGGACCAGAGCTGGACAAGCAGCCTGAAACTCTTCCAGGTCCTCTGAGCGTTGCACCTGAAATGCACATTTCCATTTCTATTTTTGTTCCCAACGTTGAGCTGAAACCAGCCATCTGTTTGCTTACTGACTGTTCTCAGATCATTGCTGCAGCAGATTATTTATAGAGGTGAAACTTGTTAGTTATTATGTAAAGTCCATGTTTCCTCTGCCAAAAGAGTCCAAAAACAACCACTGTGTGAGACTTTTAGATGAACTTTAATGTTTTAAGCTGTTGTGTTCTTTACCCAATAGCACTGTAACCTTCAGTTCTGGACCAGTCAAAGTTTTTGTCTGTCCAACAGGCTCTTCAGAAGGTTTCTGCTCATGTTTTCATCTTTTGTCTTCAGTTATTAGTTTTTACTACATTAGATGAAAAATACCTGGTTTATAAGTTAGTCAGCTACCGTTAAACTGCAGAAGTTCACATCAAGTTAAAGCTGCTTTTTAACCAAATTCTTGTTTTTGTTCAAGTCTCACATTTTCAGGAGGACTAAGAGACGAACAGCACGAAAGGTACCGTTTGCTTTCCCTCATTAGAACCGTGTTTCCATCCAGAACCCACAGAACCATTTCACTTCGCATCAACATCCGCCATGTTGGGTTTCCATGGTTCCCGTCAACATCCGCCATGTTGGGTTTCCATGGTTCCCGTCAACATCCGCCATGTTGGGTTTCCATGGTTCCCGTAAACATCCACCATCTCCTCCTGACCTGCTCATCATCATTCATTTATTTTAAAGATAAATTAACATTTTTCTGTGCATTCCATAAAATAAAACATGAAATCTAGAATAAGATAAAAGCTTTTGGACGCAGTGATCAGGTTCAGGGGCCCGGTGCGGAATCTGTCTGGTTCTTTGGTTCTTGCATTTCAAAATAAGACAACAAAAAATTAATAATTAGATTTTTTTGTTGTTTTAAAATTAAATTGGAGAATTCAAGACTTAAAGTAGGCTACAAACTCCAGGCGTTTTACATTTTCACACATCTCAGTGTGAGCTGATGATCTCACCAGGAACAAACTCTTCTTCTGTGGTGACTCCCGTCCTGCCACACATCAGGTTGAACATTATAGTGTGACTTTGACAAAAATCGAAGTGACCAAAGTGGACTGGTCCACTTCTTTCCAGCTGAATGTGGAGACCTTGGAGTCAAACTGGTTCCTGGAAGCGGATTACAGGCTGAACAGAAGTGGATAAACGATCGTACTAATGAACCCGATCTGAAATGAGAAGCGCTGTGTCTCTGCATTAGGATCTGTAGATGTTCTGACTCCAGCTCTTCAGCTCATTTATCTTCTAAAACCGTCTAAATCAACCGATTAATTTGCATGTAATTGCTGCCTGTTGGAGGAGAAGCTGTAATTTGCGGCTGACATGGTTGAGCGGGTTCTTATCAGGACGGATCCGATTGGTTCAGGTTTCCTTTAAACATGAAGATGAACTGCCTCTTCCAGTCCTGCTCACCTGCAGCACTCTGTAATGATGGTGCTCCCTCCCAGGCAGAGGACCGTCCGTCTCCTAATGGTTTATTGACGAAGCTTTTACTTTTAGGAGCGGCAGCCCTGCTGCTGTCCCAGAAAATCTTTACAACAGCTTCTGGCTTTTATGATGCAGAAATGTTTTTTCTCTCTTCTGGTTCAATAGGCTGGGATTATTGATATACATGATGATAAGTGTGGCTTTGTAAAAGGAGCGTAAATCTGTCTGTGGGACTTCACTGTGTTAAAGGACCTCCAGGTCGTCTTTACTAGATCAGACCGACAACAAGAACATTAACTGACTCTGGATTTACTCTGCTTAAAAGGCTCCTGTTGTAGCTTTAACCACGCAGAGACACGAAGGACGAAGTGTTCATGAAGTTTAATGGACATTGATTTGAACTTTGACCTTCTGTGACCCTCAAATGTAATCACATTACTTTGGTCTTCTAGCTTTTGGTAAAAGTTCCTCTCAAAAAGGTTTTTTAAAACGGTACAATTACATCCTGAAGTTACTAGTGACGCCCAAGTTACTGCTTTTAGTCGCCATGTTTCTCATTTTACTGGCAGGAAGTTCTCCTCTGCCTGAGCAGAACTAATGAACCAAAATGTTCCTAAACAGACGTCAGTAAGAACAGTCATTGATGAGTTAACGGTACAACGACCTGCCAAATCCAAAACCATGGAAACCAGACCTTTGGTTCCTGGGAAGATGCCGGTTAGATTGGGGAAAACAACTGTTACTTCAGCAGAGTAGGTCCAGTTGGAGCCAGTGGTTCTGTCCGGTCCAGTTGGTCCGGTCCGGTCTCACCCAGTCCTTTAGCTGAAGTAGCAGCAGGTATCTGTCGTTCTGTGTAGGCGAACATCTCCAGCAAGTTTTCTTCTTCAGTCTGAAGTCTTAAATATAACCAGACAGAATGTCACCATGGTAACCATGAAAACTGATCACGTTCCTCACGCCTCGTCTGTATCAGCTCAGTTAGAGATGATGAATCTGCTTAGAATCGACCTTCAGGTTCTGATGGGTTCACCTGGGATCTGGGATCCACTCCAGAACAGGAAGTAAATCAACCCCAGATAAATTTCATCGTCTCTAGATCACATCTCTGTTCTGTTTCTCTTCCTTTTCCATCCCTCTCTTCCTTCTCTCCATCCCTCTCTTCTTTCTCTCCATCCCTCTCTTCCTTCTCTCCATCCCTCTCTTCCTTCTCTCCATCCCTCTCTTCCTTCTCTCATCCCTCTCTTCCTTCTCTCATACCTCTCTTCCTTCTCTCATCCCTCTCTTCATTTACTTTCCCTCCTCGTTCTCCGGCTCTGCTCCATCCTCTCCATCGTGTTTACTGACTCCACGCCGTCCAATCCCAGCTTATCTCCGCTCCTCATCAGCTCTCATCCCTCCGCCTCCACAATGTTAACGCCTGTTCCGCCTCGCTCACACACACCCTCTATCACACACACACACACACACACACACACTCTCACACACAGCGCCTCACACGCTCGGCTCCTCTCTGCTGCCCCGCTCCTCTGATTATCTCTAAAACCATCCAGTGAGTCATTGATGACTCCACAGGTCGTGACCTTTGTTCCCCCAGATTCCCCGCCCACTCCTCTCCCCAACCAATCAGCCGATCCGCAGGTCGGCCTCGTCTTCTACGGCTGCTTGTGATTCACATTTCTTTGATTTGATGTTGTGGCAAAACACTGCAGGGAATGAGAAGATTTGATCCCGACTGATCCACTGAGGCTTTGAGCTGCTGTAACTTTACAATCCTTTAAAACTCTTTCCTGCGTTTGAGTCGACAGCAGAGACTAAATCTAAAGTTTGGATAAAATATGAGCCAGCTGCCTTATTTCTCCGTCTTTGTTTCCACCGATCAGGCTTTTATTTGATAAATTTCCTGTTTTCTCTAAAGTCTGAAATGCTGATTGCAATTTTCTCTGTAAAAACTGTAATATAAAAAATGTAAATGTAGTTTTGCTTCAGCAGAGGAATGGAAATGACTAGTGAGCTGAAGCACTGATGTAGCTAAATAATTCATAGTTTTCAGTTTGGATGCGTTCCAGTTTGAGCTGCAGACGACGAATCTGAATCAAAAGAAACCTGATCATTGATTGATTGATCGGGCATTAGTACACGTTTTCCTCTTTCCTGCTAATACCAGTTTTATTTCTGAAAATCCTCAAATATGATGAAAGGTTGACACACTCTTATAATAATGGAACATCTTTAGATTATGAACAGTTATAGTTTTATAGTTTAAATAATCCAACAGTTGTTTACATGTTAATCTGTCATTTAGATCGTCACTGTTTAGCTCATTTTGTTTGTCTGAAAATAACTAAACATGTGGAACAGCAGCTTTTTCCTGGTTGAATTGTTTTTAGAGAAAACTGAATCACACTGTAGCAAACAGGCCAAGTGGTCAAACAAGAAGTGGAGAGCAGCTGCTGCTGTTTGCAGACAATTGTTCTCAGTGGCGATGCGTTCAGGGCCCTTTTGGCATGTGAAGGCTGGACTGGACATGTTTGGTGTGTTTAAGCTGAGTGTCTGAATCTGAAATGCATTGAACCTGGTTGGTTTTGTGCTTCGCGCCGACGGCAGGTTTTCCTCCAGCCAAACACTTGACGCTCAGATAATGACTGAGTTTACCTCGCTGTGATTCCAGCTCCTCCGCCTGGCCTCCAACTATGAATTACAGCTTGTTTCTCCTCTTAAATGACATGTATTTTCACCGCGGCTGCTCCTCACTGTGTTGAATTAGAACCGCCTCCATCTGCTCCAACCTGTCATTATGAAACATGTTGTTTTTCGCTCCTTGTTAAAGATGAGTCATGTTTGGGTTTTCAGGAGGAAGTGGAGACGGAGAACCGGAGGAACACCAGAACCAAACTCACACCAAAGCTGAGCCCACAGACAGAGGAGGTACCACCCAGAACAAACAGTCACTGTTAAACTGGACGCTGTGAGACAAACTGCTGACCACCTTTACCTCCCTGTGGCCAGAGCGCTACCTCCCAGAGCAGCCTCCGCGGCAGGAAGGACGGCGCACTGCAGAAGATCGGAGACTTCCTGCAGAGGTCCCCGACCGCGCTGGGCTCTGGAGGTCAGAAACACACGACCTTTCAGCCGCAGCAGGGAGCCTTACCTCACCAGAGCTAAACACAATTCAACCACAGCCGAGAGTAAATGGTTGGCCTGGGCCTGGAGGCTGAGCAGGCCTGGTACCAGTAGAGTCCCACTGCAGTCGCTGAGTGAAACATCTTCACATGCACTCTGGGTCCTGACTGGGCTTTAACTTCTCATTTAACTGGGAAACGTTAACCAGCCAGTGTTTTACCTGCTTGGAGTAAATGATGTGATCTGGTGACAAAAACCTGAGTATCAGAGCTTAGAAACTTTTACTCTCCCTCTCTAAATGTTCTGACTCAGAATGAGGTTTTGATCTCGCCAGCCTTGGATCTTTGTGCTGCTGTTTGTTCATGCTGATCAAATCCCTGAAAGCAGCCTGATGTGTTGCTGCAGCCAAGAAGATGATGAGCCTGGTCAGCGGCCGTGTGGATGCCCAGTCAGCCTCTTCCTCCTCTTCCTCCTGCTCCCCCCTCCGTTTGACGGCCAAGAGGAGCAGAAAGAAACTCTACAGGCCTGAAATCTCCTGCCCCATGGAAATGCCCCCCCACCCGGTGAGTGGAGCCGCGGCCGCGTGACCCGGGGCTGCGGCTCATATCTTCATCTGATTTATTAATGCTCTGAATACTGGGAAATGAGATGTTGGGGTTATTTTTTTATCTTTATCCTGTGTTGATAACCTCACAGTAAATCTGGATATGTAGGTTTTTATTTGGAGCAGTTGGAGACTCTGCAGCAAAAAGGTTCTGGCTTCAAGTCCCAGCCACGAAATATTACAACTACCATTTTCTATTGAAAGAATATTTTAATTATGCTGCATATTTTTTGAAAGGCCTTGTTCTGCACTCAGGTCGTATGTTTTTCATATTTCCCATCAGCCACTTGGATTTCAAGATGGCAGACGATTTTGAGCCTTTTGAACCAATTATCGCCATAAAATGTTACGTACTTTTATGACCTGGATAAATTTGTCCAGGTCATAAAGTATGAAAACAACTTCAAAGTAATCAAATGTAGCAAAACCCAACAGGAAACTGAACAATTCAGGAATCTCTCACCAGTCGTGAACTGGAAGGATATTTAGATGTCAAACGGACTGAGAGACTTTATTTGGTGGTTCAGCGTTAACTTCTGCTAACTTTGCTGATTTCAGCATAAACATTTTCTTCAACACAACTATGGTGGCCATTTTGAAAAATGTCAACCAGAAAACTCATGATTTTTACAGTTCAAAAGATGTGGGCTCTGATTTGACACCAAACATGTTCTTGGTGAGTTTATTGCAAACGTTTATATTCCATGACAACAATGGCGGCCATCTTGAAAAATAAATGTAAAAAAATCAGTACATATCATTTCTATGGGTGTGTGTGATTTGACACAAAAAGTTTTCTTTTGTTTTAACTATTGTTAGTTTTAGTGCAAAAGTAATTTTACCTTGGTGACCCTAGTGGCCATCTTGAATTTATTAGTGGCTAACATTTATTTATTTTTCTTAAAGCACGTCTGTTCCTGGTTTGTTCTTTATCTGCTCTGCTGCGTCTGCCCTCCTCTGCCATGTTTTCTCCTGTCTGTGTTTTCAGATTATTAACCAGGAGACGAAGGACGGCGACGGCGGCCAACAGATCAAGCTGCGCCTCCGCTCCAGAGTGGCTAAATGCTAACGCCGTACCCAGTTAGCTTTCATATTTCTGTCTTAATGAAGCAGCTTATGATAGAGCATATCTTTCTGTCTGAGACGCTTTTATTTAATCACTGACTTGACCTTTAAGCTGAAGGTCAGCGGGAGGATTAGCAATAATCTGGTTAATACTAAAACCCTCCTGCAGCCTGTAGACACTAATACGTTTATTTCACCAAGTATTTTTATGTTCATGTTACAGTTTGTGTTCATTTATGATCATATGACTCTGCCCTCATGACACGAGAAGCACTCAAGCCCTTCCTCGTTATTTTAATGTGCAATCTGTTTAGAGTTCCCTCGTTTGTCCTAATATAGTTTATTTAATGTTTTCTCCACAGAGAGCTGCTATAAAGTCACATTATCTTCTACCATAGTTTGATCTTTCTGAACCATCTGGACTTCACATAGTCTTGAAGCTCTGAGTTATCATGTTCAGGGGAATCATTTGTTGCATCCATAGCAAAATTATTTTCAGCCCTGTTGAAGACATTTATTATAATAAAAAATCTTTAATAAAGAACAGTGGTGGCTGCAGCCTGAGAGCCCAGAAGAGCCGTTTCCCTCCTTCCTGCTCATGCCGTCTCCTCCGGGCCTCCTGGTGTCGCATGTCGTCTCCGGACCGCCAACATGGCCGTCAGACGCCGCCTCCTCCCAAAACCGCAACAAAAACAGATTAAACCAAACGGTGACCGTCACACTGCGCCTCTAAACGGCAGGAAATCCTGTAACACCTGCAACAAAATACCAACAAATTAAATTTAAAACTATTTGATATTAATATTTTAAAGCAGTTAATTTAATGATCCGCTGAAATGAACCTTCAGGCTGAAGATTCCTGCAGATCTGAAGGTCAGAAATAATTCTACGATGTAGATCTGGACCCAGAAGAACCGAGAGGTTCTGGAACTGATGAGATTAACTGGCTCCTGGTCTGGACCTGGTCCGGTTCAGAACCGGTCCGGTTCTGGTCCCTGGACACGGTCCGGTTCAGACCCGGTTCGGCTCTGGACCCGGTCCGGTTCGGTTCTGGACCGGTCCTGCTGCACTTTATCTCCTTCCAGAATCAACTTGAAGCTGACGAACATCACAGCCGACTCTGCTGTCAGAAAGTGTTTCAGTGTTTTTTTCTCATCTGAAAATATATTTAATGCATCA